CGAACAGTTCCGTAATCTTCCAATACAGATCGACGTCTTTCATCTCTCCATACGGATTCTTCTCGTACTCCATCGTGATCCCACACAAGTTCTCAGCTGCCCATTGAGTGGACGCGCAGTTGACGACCTGGAGTATATCAACGTACGTTCCGGGGATGTTGTCGAACCTAAAAAGACGAGGATAAGTACACATCCAAAATGTGTGCAAAGAGTGCGTACTTGTAAGACTTGCACCCGGTCAATTCCCGAATTTTCTTGGAATAGTAGTTGGCATGTCCCTTTACAACGTCGCTACTCGGGTACAACGCATGCAATGCCTATCGGGAATGTCAGCCGCAATCTTTTACTCTGTTTCCTTGACATACCATGGTTCGGTCGTTATTGTGCGTCGGTTCTTGGTCAAAGGCCAAGAACATACCCCGAGCATAGGTAATATACCTGATAAACCATGCATGAGCTGGGTATTAGCGCGAAATTCAATTAAACGGCTCACCTCAGGTCCGGCCCATACGGGACCTTATACTTTGTGACTTCGTTCGACACGTGCTTGATCGCAGTAAAGTTGTTCAAAGGCTTGGGGATAGGTGTTTCACTAGGACGCGTAAAATCGTACTGATCGGCCTTCTCCAACTTGGTCAAGTTCTGCTTTGTCGTCTCCGGAGTGAAGAACGGGAAAAGACCGTAGACCGAGTTGTAGGTGTAGTGGCGAGGGAAAGTTCGCATCAAAACTAATTCATACGGTGAATGGAGGGGATATTATCTGAGCATAGGAGGACTTACGCTTAGGAAGATAAGCGCCGAATGCACCGTTGTTCGAGTCGCGCTTGACGTCCTCGAATCCCCAGTTGGTGAGCCTCTCGGGCGTAAAGTCGGTCGTGAAGAAGCGGTCGCCACGGACGAGAGCAATGGCATCAGCGAGGATAGCACGGGTGATGGTATAGCCAGCGCACTATAAACAAATTTAATATTTTACTTCCGGTCCATCGACCTCCAACTTACCAATCCAGAGCCAGGTCCGAGGTCCATGCACTCTTCTGCGTGCAAACCAGGATAGAGTTCAAGGTTATCAATATCGTGGTAGAGCTTCCTCGCGGCACTGGCGATGACGGGGTCGGAATTCCACTCTTCAAAAGTCTTGAACGTCGTCAAGCCAAGGAACGTTCTAAACTCGTTCATCGTGCATACTCCCCATCTCCGTGCTTGCTCCATGCTCATGATCTCGATGACCCTCAGCGCTTCGGGTACCCCACGCGCTCCATAGCGACGGGCACCATTTTCAGTGGCATTGTGCAGAAGCCCGGCAACGTCGGCGTCAGAAAAGCGCCCGTCGGGTCCGCGCTTGATACCGCCAAAGTTGCGTTTCCGTGGGTCCGGATCGACACGGAGGGATTCATCAACATTCCCAGATCGGAGCCTGCCAAGCGCCTCGTAAAAGTCCGAGAGCTCCAGTTCGCTCGACTCCTTGGTGAACAACTTGTTGAAGATTCCGTTGGTCCAGTTCTCGTCGGCTCTGTTCGAGTGTTAGTGAAGATTCGATGATGTAGCGGAAGCAGACATACTCGGATATTACGGCGTGCCAACGATAGAGGAGATTGAA